ATATGAAAGGCATTGCAAATTTCCACCACCTCCCTTTTGAATGTAGAGGGGTACTTGCTCGTCATTTGATGGACTTCCTGCTAGGTAATCATTACATAAACACAGCTGTCTTGAAGGCCGGAGTACCTGGCTTCCCTGGCTGTCTGGAGCATTTACACATGATTTGAAACTCAATCCTATCAGCCAAAAAAAATAAAACTGAGCTTCATGTAATTTGGCTTTATCTCACAAATGCATATAGATCAGTTCCTCATGTGTTAATTTGAATGTCTCTCTAATTTTTCAGTTTCCCTAATAACATTAGGAAAATGATAATGAAATATTTCAGAGCAGCACTTACGCAGTTTACTGTTGGTAACTAAACCACCAAGTGACAATCCCTTGAGGTCGACATCATGATGGGGTGTGTGATTTCACCACTTCTTTTCGGGATGTTTATGGAACTCATATTACAGGGTGCAGTGAACATAGCAAAGATTGTGATGACTAAGAAACAAATGACCGTTCCTTTTTCCCCAGTGTTCATGGATGCATTACCATTCTGGTGCCATCTAAAGTCTAACTACTACAGCGCTGCCATAAGCTCTTCATGTGGGTGAGAATGAAGGATAAACCCAAGAAAAGCCAGAGCTGCTTATTACTCAGAGGCTCTGCCAGGGAGATTTACTTCTGCATTGGGGGGGTGGGGGTGACATGATCCCAACAGTCAAAGAGAAGTCAGTGAAGAGCCTCAGACGGCTGTATGAAATTCCATTGACTGATCAGCACCGAGGTAAAGAGATGCAGAAAGTGGCACTAGATGGAGGTCCATTGACAGATCCCATCTCTCTGACAAGCTGAAGGCTTGATGCTACCAACATGGTTTACTGTCCTAGCTTCTGTGACTGTTACAGGTGTCTCACATTCAGCAGATGCAGAATTGTATCAACAAGTACCTGTGTCAGTGGTTAGGACTTACCCCCCTGCTTCTCCACGGTGGGACTATACCAATGCTGGAAATCTGCAACTTCCCATCTCATTGGTGGAAGAGTTCAAGGTCGCAAAGGTATGTTTTCACAGAATGATGAGGGACTTGGCTGATGAGTTCATCTGCATATAATGGCCAGATATCAAAACTGGCACCAAATAGTAGGCGATAGAAGCCTCCCATAGAAGCAGATAGAAGCAGAATCCAGTCTGTGAACCAAAGAGATTATGGTGGTGACCCAAACTAATCAAGCTGGCCTGGACAGCATGAGCAACCAGTTTTTCTCTAAACAGAGCCCAAAGGATAAATAAGACATGATGATTGAAGAAATCAGGAATTTTGAGAAAGAGCAGCAAACAGGTACTACTGTTTCTTAATTCGAAAAAAATATGCTTGGACTACATGGAGTGATATTGATCCAATGAAGCTATCATGGAATATATTGATTTCAATATCATTCCTTCTGCAATCTACTATGATCTACCAAATGTGACTAACCTTAAGCTGACACTGAGGTATGCGCATTATGTCAAAGTGATCAAGGCACTTTATATCACATGCTCTCTGCATGCCCACAATCACTGCAGATGCACATGTGGTGTCTTAAAGTGCTGGGAGTGGTCACAGATTTAGTCGGTACACAGTGTGAAGCAACCAACAAACAGCCTGTAATGGTCAGAGAACCTAAGATGTATTTTCGCAAGGAAGGTGAACACCCTGTGCAAAAGACCTAAATTAACTCCCAACATGATATTCAGACAGATGTACAGCCTATCATTGTAGCATAGTTTGATTCAAAGAGGTGTGTCCTCTTAGTAGAATTTATGCTTCCTTGGGAGTAGAGCAGGGAGAAGGTACACAAGGAAAAGAAAAACCGCTATGAATCACTGCAATCTGACTATGTGGAAAAGGGATGGACATGTCATGTGCTACCTATTGAAGTTGGGTGCTGTGGATTCCTTGGAGAGTCAATCGTTTCCTTCCTTTTGAAAGCGGGCATCACTGGCCGGAACCTGAAGCGTGCTTCACATTGTCTCCCGACAACAGCTCAACAGGCATTGAGTTGGATCTGGCCAAGACCCAAAATAAGTTAAATAAAACCATGCACACAACACAATGCTACCTCCGACGTGAAACATCTGTTTATCTTCCATTCTATGTCATTAATAATGGTTGCTACGAGCGCGTTGTGCATTTTAAGGCAACGTCGAAAATTTCAGTTGCAGTTGTAAAAAGAAATTGCAAGAGACTGACATGTATACAAAATACCCTGTCCGGTGGCAGAAGCTGCTGGTGGTGCCAAAGGTGGTATTACCATCTTAACCACCAAAAGTCTTTTACCTCTCCTGGTTGGTGGCTGGTGAGGGCAGGAAATCACACATGCTTTCACACATCTTATGTCGAGAATAAGACGAAAAAATGAAAATGTTTAAAACGATCATTTGAAAAAAGTGAGACAGAAGTAGTAGGGGTGATGCCATCACCAGAAGATGTCAGGAAGTTGGGATTTAGGAAAAAATAAAATATATTGCCTGTGCTGTGCTGCCCACATACCTGAGGCATAGAAATGTCTAGTCTGCACAGCTACTAGATGTTTATGTTCCAAATAGAAAACTGAATGAATGCCAACATCTCAAGTTACTGTTCTTGTTCCTTGCATACCAAAAAACAAGCATCAATACTTAAGAAGCTTAGATATCTTCATTAGATTCCAAGCAAGACCTTTCTACTTTTACTCCATATTCTTGTTTGTCATCACAACACTCAATGGTTTGCTTTATAACAGAAATATACTGTAAATTATTTAATGCACATCCTCCTGGCATCAGTTTAAACATGATGCCTCACCCAGCAACATATCTCATTTGGAAAAGGAAAAAAATTTCACTGAAATGTTAGGATATTTTCAAGTTTTTACCTGAAATCATGAACTTGACAACCAGAGATTAATTTTGTAAATCAAACTTCAAATGTCAACTTTATAATAGCTAATATAGATAATAAAAAATTTTTAGGAATTGATTTATAGCTTCAACTGAACTCTTAACATTGTCTTCACACTAAACATATAAACTTGTAATTGACACTCACAGATAAAATTTTATTAGAAAATGCCAAACAAAAGAACTCGTAGTTGGTGTTGTAATAAAAAGTGCCAATGAATTCTCTCATAGTCAGTAGTTAATGCGTTAAACAAAATGCTCACAATGTGTGGACAAAAAAAAACAAAAAAAAAACTAGAAGTTTAAACTGACGGTAGGTGGATGTGATATGAAAAGAATGCATTGTATATAATTCTATTAGAGAACATTATTCTCGAAACTCTTGTGTCTGGGGTCACTTCTGTTCGTTTTCATGCAGAACAGAGCATAAAGTAAATTTATATGATACTTGAAGATTCCAAAACAAGCCAGCCCCTCCCCATTGTAGTAAGCACTATACCTAGTGTTATTGCTGTACATACACACTAATACCAAAGCATACTAATGCAAAACACTATAAATACCTTATTAAATTTTGGCAATTGGTAAGTTAATAATAATAAAGTATGGACTCATTTTTTCTGCACAAGCATTCTACCAACATCATTAGTGCAGAATAAATACTAAGTGCTGCCATGATAAAATAACCTATCACCTTCATTTCTCATCCATTTCAAGTCTATACTTCTGATATGGAACTATAGACTTGAAGAAATAGTACCACCGCTGCAAAAGGTGATTGAAAAAAAAAAAAAAAAAAAAAAAAAAAAAAGGAGGAGGGGGCAAGTCAAGACCTTGTGAGAATTCAACATTCAAACCGACCACACCTTTATGGCCACCAAAGCAGACATCACCAGCGTTGACAAACAAATATGAAAACACTTGTTTTGTCACCTGTTAATTATAGCTTTTATCTCCCTTAGTAGCCTTTGTCATTTAAGGGGACATTCTGATGATCCCAGTTCTGCCACTGCTGGTGTCTTTTCAGAAAGGGAACTCTTGCCTTCATGCATTTTTTTTTTTTTTTTTTTTAAGTGTTTCACCCCAAGCAAGCTACTAGGGTTACAGAGAATTGGAGTGAGAGCAAAGAATGAAGAGAAGGCTAGGGGATAGATCAAGGCATCTGGAGATGTCGATTGACATTATAATTGAATAGTTAGAGATTTTCCCTGATAGCTATATCAGGGAAAAAGGAAAAGGGGAGGGAGTTCCACAGGCGAGACGTGCGAGGCATGAAGCTATTGAAGTAGAAGAGACGGCTACATTTAACAGTTTTGACAGTGAAAGGGTGTGAGCGAGATGCTAGCCTAGTTGAACGCTTACAATTCATGAAGTCAGGGAACCAGCGAAAGCAGCTCATTGGAGCAGTTAACATGAAAGTATTTGTAAAAAAAGACAGAGGGAGGCGACGGCATGTCTGTGAGAGAGCGACTGCAGAAAAATTTCCTGGCGTGGCACATGGAGCCTACTTTCCTTCTGGTGGACGAAGCTATTGACTCAATGTATTTGTTCCATCTCAGGTCAGCAGTCAATGTGAGGCCAAGTAGTCGCAAAGAGGAGCTCTCGAGAAGTTGAACGTCAGACATTCTAATGGAGGGCAGGTATGGTTCTCTGTGATGAGTAATAGAGAGCAGTTTTTGTTCTACTTTTTAAAACGTTTTTATTTCAAGCATCTTTGGTAAAAATCATTTATAGAAATTATTTTATTCAGTAAAATTGACATTTCCTGGTATTTTCCTTTTGTACCATTTATTTTACTCAACAACATATTCTTCCTTAGATGCAGACATTGAAATTTGCCTCACTCATTGATTTTCAATGTACTCCCTAGCTTTCTCTTTTTAGTGTTATTTCTACACTACTTTTCTCTAAGAATTGTCCGATGTTCTGTTTTTATCTTATGTTTTTTTTATTTAATTTTCTGACTGAAACCAAGTAGCATCTTTATCCATTTTATTTATTTATGTTTTTCTTTGCTCTGATTTTTTCATACTTTAGGGCTGTCCCTGCTTGTATTTCTTCCTCTTTTCTGTTCATATTGTATGTGAAACTAATTTTTTTTTTTTTATTGCTAAGAAACGAGGGAAGATAGAGGGAAACGAGGGAAGATAGAGGGAAACGAGGGAAGATAGAGGGAAGATAAGATAGAGGGAAACGAGGGAAGATAGAGGAAACGAAAAGATAGAGGGAAGATAGGAAGATAAACGAGGGAAGATAGAGGGAAACGAGGGAAGATAGAGGGAAACGAGGGAAGATAGAGGGAAACGAGGGAAGATAGAGGGAAACGAGGGAAGATAGAGGGAAACGAGGGAAGATAGAGGGAAACGAGGGAAGATAGAAATGTTTAATGGCTGTTTCAGTGAAATGGAAAAAGTTGGTTCTCAGTTTCAAATCTTTTCATTTGTACCCCCTTACTTCTCAAAATAATGAAACAACATTCATATTTATGATCGTTATTGCAATATTTTGTTAAAGTTGTTAAGCTCAAATATTTAATGAAGTGATAGGGGAATTGCTACAGATATTTTATTTTTATAGAAGCATGCTGTGAGCTTATTCAATCATTAACTTAAGAATTAAGATTCATCAGAATATTCAAATAGGAAAACAAATTTTCACAGGTCTTTTCTAGTTGTTATAATAAGATTATTATTATCATTTCTTCTTTGTTTGCCAGTTGTAAATGAAAGACATGCAATCTTACACTGTAGGTGGTCTCTATCAACCTGTATATACTTAGATAGAGCACCTTTTGCAAAATATTTGCAGTGCCAAGCAACACAGGCTTCTGATGAAAGCGAATACTAGTTTTTTATTGCAATTTTCTCAAGGACTTTCAGTCCAAAAGCGTAGATTCCCATCCCCAGTGATAACTAGGACAATAGTTGCCTGAACCACCACACACACACAATTCTGGAAATAGAGGTCAGTGTATTAAGCTTGTCAAGTTCTTTGGCTTTGATATTATGGCCACAAGGAAGAGGTTAACTGTCTGAACACGTGTCCATTTCTGTTAAATGCATGCACATCTTCAACGGTCAGAAAGACTCTTAGGCAGATAAGAGTCTGAATCAATGTTGAATTTCATCCACAAAACGTGTATTGCAGGTAATGTTTTTTTTTATTTCAAAAATTTATTTCTGGTAATAATTTTTTTATAAAATATTTCTAGTATTAAAACCTATATTTACACTTTTATAATGCCTTTTATCTTAGTTTCTGGGTTAACTATTTGCCTATAGCTGGGACCCTAACAGGTGCTACCACCCCGGATCAGGGTGAACCTGGGAACATCAGCAATTAAGAGGTGGTTCCACACTCCTTAAAAGCCTCCTGATCAGAGGCCTTGCTGTTGGACGTAGTTTATCATCTTACCCTGGACGCCTTCTCATTTGGCTGGGATCAAATGTGTAGTATCTGTTCTTCTCACCTTAATCTGATTCTTCCTCTTTCCACTTCTATTTTCCCTTCTTTCTTTCATGTTCTCACTGAAACCAAGTAGTGTCTTTTCCCCTCATTCCAGGCAATCAAAATTGAATAGTTCATTATGTAGGATTATTATTATTATTATTATGTTGAGAGTGCTCAGCAGACCTTTAGCCCTTAGTGATATTATTGTCTTGCTTGGAATGAAATGATTACAGAAAACACACACAAAAAAAAAAACCCAAAACACACACAACCCACCCAAAAAACCAAAACACACACACACAATAAAAAAATCACAAAACACGCACACAATAAAAAAAAACACAAAACAAAACACACAGCACAAAACAACATATAACCCTCCCTTAAAAAAAAAAAAAAAAAACACAAATGAAGTTGAGAAATGAGCTCTGTCAGGCTATCTTGTCTTAGACACACCACTACTGAAGTACATATGGTTCCCTTACAACCATAATGAATTACAGGACTTATGACGTGAATGATTAGTAAGCTTTGATTTGTTAATACCTAATTGATTTGATTTTCATGAAGTGACTCATACTTATGGCACTGTGTCATACAAAGCTAAGCAAAGACCTTGTATGTGCATATGCAAAATATATACCATAGTTAATGCATTGTATAGATCAGATAAATGATTTCTAGTTGTGAAGAGTGATTTTCCTATAAAGAGACTAGCATATAGTTAGCATATATGTCAGCAAAAACTTTAATGTAGATTGGAATCTGTTTGAAAAGGGAATATTAAACAAATGAAACCAATGTGTTTTTCAAAACAATCATCAATTAAAAAATGTCAACAGTTGAAGGCTGCAGACTGCTTTGACCTCATTTACTTCTGCCTGCAACAGGAAAATATTATTGCATCATGATAGATGTCAGGGTCAACAAAATAAGCAAGTTTGATTACCTTTCCAACTAAAAGTCTTTTGCGTTATAATTACTTTAAGAGCTGGCTGGTGGTTAAAATGTTCACATTCTGACTATGAGACTTAGGTTTGACTTTTACTATGGTCAATTTGTCAAGGAGGTGACTCCTTTATAATACTGGCCTGGGGGGGGGAGAGAGGAGGATCCTAGCATGTAGCACCATTGGGAAGTATCTGAAAACCAGATCACAGTTCGGCTGAAAATTTCTGAGTGAAATTGAGTAGATAAAACAGTTTGGAAGTTGGGAATGGTTTGGGTTAGCACAAAGTCATCGTGGTCGAGGGTTTGAGTGTACTGGCCTTGTCAAAAACTGATGTTTATGCAAGATTATGTGGTCTCTCCCAGAAACTGTAATTGAGAGCCACTTCAGCATAGTTGCAATATAAATCACAGATTTTATAACACTTTATAGTGTTTAATAAAAAAAAAAAAAAAAAAAAAAAAAAAAAAAAAGTTTAAGTTTGGGTTTCATTAAAAATTTACAAAAAGATTTTTTCAAAACAATAAAAATTGCTGAGGTAATATGCAGTAATAGTGTCAAGAGGAGAAACTATCCTTTTGATTTTACAGATATGTTTGTTAAACTTTGTTAAATTTCTATTATCCAGATTACCATAAGGGATTACAGAACTTAATAGAATTTAAAGACACCAACACACAGCAAACTTTATGAATATAATTCTTTAAATTTGCCCTTTAAAAAAATAAATAAAAAGGGGAGAAAAAAAACAGTTTCAAGTTTTTCCAAATGACTAAATTACATACAGTATCTTTTCACTTAAGATGATTCTACTGTACATACATACACACACAATATATATATATATATATATATATATATATATATATATATATATATATTTGGAGAGGGGGACTTAAACTCAACCCTACTATCCCATTTTATCGTTTAACCTGATTCTTAACATTATTACAGGTCAGTTAAGTTTAAATGGAATGTATTTGCAAAATGAAAATAATTGTCCATAAACATGCCGTATATTTTGTCTATACAAACAATAAAATAAAATAAAATAAAAAAGTGGAAAAAAAATCGCGTAAAACACCATAGTATTGATTAAAATATTGAAAAAATTAAAATTGATTTAAAACTATTTACAAATTTCAAGTCAGTTAAATACAATAAACTACGAAATACTCTTGAAATTAAATTAAGCTACAAAAGTGCGATCTGCTTGAAATACACTCTGTATGTGTTATGATTCTGATTAAAATATACAAAATGTGAAATATTCGTGTAAAAATAAAATTTAAAAAAAAAAGAAAAAAAAAGAAAAAGAGAATAGAAGACAAAAAAACCTTACGAGATGTGTCGCGCCAAAACCATTAAAAGGTAAATAGTGACATGAAATTACTGCGTATAAATTGGGTTTAACATTAAAATACATATTTACAAATAACACAATTCACAAATTGACATAATATATTCGTTGACTGTAACTGTACAATTCAAGTCGTGTATTTAGACATAAAAAGGTGATGTTTATATTATTGCCATGTTGCAATTATATTAATAATTATTTTTTTTACAGATTTACCCGACTTGATAATTTTAACTATTTTATTACATTGAAGTCCAAGAGCTGTCACGTTTAATCCATAACCATTTTCCTGTCCTTTCTGCTGTATTAGTTATGATCCGAATCGCCTTTCTTTTGTTAGCACTAAGCCTATATCAATTAGGGCTTTGCATAGGGCCTTTGCAGCAAAACCTTAAATGGCAAACACCCACCTTAAATGGCAAACAGCTTGATTTCCACAACTCATTATTAATTCATCATATTTTAGCATCTAGTGGGCTTCCTCTGCATGCTCTTCCCAAGGCACTGTCATTTCTCACGTTATTACTTTCTTAATATTGTTTGAGAAGAATACTATATCTGGGCATAATGATGTTTGCACAATCTGGTCAGGGAATTTTAGTCTTGTTCCTAAGCTGACCCTTAATTCCCAGTCTGTTGCCAATGACAGAGTATTTGCTATGTTCTTTTCCTCTTTTTGGGGGTTTCTCGCCAGCTCTATGAGATTCTATAGTTCTTTTATCTAGGTTTAAAGTATTAGTGCTGATGGCTGTACTATCTTTGCTATATCCTTTAAGATTTCACCATGCTTCCATCTATACCGGCCTTCCGTTAGTGCTGTATTACAGCTACTTAGAATATGCTTTAGAGTTCCTTTACGGGAGCACAATTGGCATAAGGGCGATTCTGTTTTATACCATAAGTGGAGGTTGGTAGGACTGGGAAGGGTGTCGTATACAGTCTGAATTAGGAACTTTATATCGATATCATTACACCATATATCCGACCATTTGATTTTCCTATAAATCATGGATCCCCAATTGGTCCACACACCTTGTTGCCTTAGTCCTACCATCTTTGTCACCCTTTTCTCCTCCTCACCCTTACGTACTTCTTGTATTAAAAGGTTCTTTTCTTTACCTTTGGCTGTCCACCCGAATGGTAGGAAAGTACCCTAAGCCCGCATGTCCAGTAGCCACGGCACCTGATATGGCCTTTTCGCAGAGCCTTTCTTTAGCGACACGTAATTCATTCTCTGCTCTCCATTTTCTTCCTGAGTAGACTTCAATGCCTGCTCCAGCCACCTTTGGGTCTTTGGATAACTCGTACTGCGTTATTGCTCTAATTTTGGTGACTTTGAATTCCTCTACTAGACTTCCGAAAGTCAAACTCTTTGGTAGACCTAACCATCTTTGTAGTCGCATGTTAATTCTTTTTTCTAATTGTTCTATACGAGATGTTGTGAATTCGTAAATAGACAATGAGCATAAGATTTTGGGAAGAATGGCATTCTGATAAATCCAAGCTTTAAATTGGCCTAGCAAGCCGGACTTAACTCTCTTTAACCAAGTCTCTAGTTTGTCTTTTGTTTCTTGGATTGTTGCTGCATCTTTTAGAGAGTGATCTATATGTTTTCCAAGGCTTTTTATATATATTTTAAAAATATGATTCCATCCTGACACAGAAATTTCTGTTTCAAAACTGAAACTAAAGTTGTAAATTTAATTATAAAAATTAAACTTAAAATCCAAAGTTTTGTTTCATTTCACAAAACAAGGTTATATATATATATATATATATATATATATATATATATATATATATATATATTATATATATATATAGTTATTAATATATGTAGATATTTATATTAATGTTATAGAATATATATATATATATATATATATATATATATATATATATATATATATAAGAAGTTTAATATATCAATATAAATTAAATTTCAGGACTTGGATTTAATATATTTAACATTGAACAGGTTAGACAGCAAATACTATCTGCCAAGTGTAGAATGTAGATTTGAATAGAAATAATCATGAACAGAATGTAACCCACTTTTTGAGGGAAAATGCATTTCTGCATAAAATTTCTTTAAATTAGGTACGTTATGTCAAGGACATTGCCAAGATTATTTACAGAAAATTTCACATTTAACTTGCAGTTCAAAAATGTCCCCACCCCCATTGTCTAAAAAGGAAACTGGGATGGGCTCAGCAGGATCAGGGATTGGTATAGATAGGCACAGGAGTCAGAACAAGAGTTACAAACATACACACACACATACTATAAGTCAAATATTTGGGACCACCATCTGAATGTAATAATTAGTAGGTTTCATATTTTATTTGATTTAATCAATTTATTATAAAATTGCAGGATAAAACTATTTAACCCATCAAGGCATGCTCTCCAATATTTTTTTGAGGATGGGTGTTACCAAAAAAAATTTGCCAGCAAGGTAGATTAAGGAAAAAAAAAAAAAAATAAATAAATGAAATAAAATAAATAAAATTTTAAGGAAACCTTATGCAGTAATAGTTTGATTTCATTTTTTATTATCATTGAATATATATATGATAAAACCCTTCAGGAAGTCAGTCCTTGGTGCCCAAAGTGAGCATATATATATATATATATATATATATATATATATAAAATGGAAAAATAAAGCAAAAAAAAAAAAAAAAAAACACAAAAAAAACACATGACAACCAAAAATGTTTGCGGCACCACCTCTTAATTGCTGTTGTTCCCAAGCCCACATTGATCCAGGGTGGTAGCACCTGTTGGGGACCCAGATATGGGCAAATGGTGAACTCCTTTTCCCGCCCACAAAAATAAACACCATGAAAGTATAAAAATACATTTTTATAGTCAAAAAGAAATACCAGCAATACATTTTATCTGTAGTTGAAGGCATACAAATGTGTTCAAAATATTTAGATTTTGCATTAAATAACCCATACAGATTGATATGCCGCTAAACAAAATCAACCATACAAACAACAGTGCTTAACACTTCCGCTGCTAACTACGGAGATCTTCATTTTTCTTATCTTGCTCCAGCTGGTTAAGTACGGAAACCTATGTTTTTTTTGCATACTGCTGGTATGAGTGTCCCGTTGCGCCATCTATCGTAAAATCACAAAGGACAATGCTTCAAAAGCTTTTTTTTCTCTCCCCCTCTTCATTTTAACTACTACTTCTGGATGATTGTTTCTGAAATCTAACATGTAAGATTTCAGAAACAATCATCCACACCCGTCATCTGAGGGGGGGGGCAAAGGGAAGTAAAGCAATTCACTGTCACTGTTTGCCCGCACGCATACAAAAAGTAGTTAAAATGAAGAGAAGGGGAGAAAAAAAAAAAAAAGAAAGAAAAAAAAAAAAGAGAAGAGAGAAAAACCAATGTTCTTAACTATGAGATGAGATTAACTACGAATTAATCTTTCTCTCTTTTAATACACAAATCATAGTAGCACCTAACTTTTATTTATTTATATATATATACACATCTCACACAAATAACAGAAAATGTCTGATGTAGATTGAAAGAGGCAGATAGATAAGATGCTACCAACGTTCAAAGAATACAAGCACAATTTTTTTCTTAATTTTTCATTATTGCAAATCAGTTCACAAATTTGGTTGTTGCAGATGTGACAGAATATCAAAGATTAATGTTCTGTCCAACCTTTCAACTCATACGAGTCATCTTCAGTGAAAAAGTAAAATGGAGAAAAAATATATTAAGCAGTGGATGGTTTTAAAAAGTGTCATTATTTTTGACCTGAAATTTAATCTAATAGACCAGAAGAATCGTGTATTTTTATTAATGGATGGCCTTATTGAATTGTAAATAGTGGGGAGGTAGGTAAATTTTAAATCCACCAGCCCGAAGATTACCATTAGCCAGCAAGGTAGATTAGGTAACAAAAACAAAAATTTTAAGGAAACTTTATGCTATAATAGATTAATTCCATAATCATTATAATTGATTATGTGATAAACCCCGCAGGAAGAGAAAATTTAGTTTCAGAAAAAGGCATGCAATCTTCAATTTTAGGTGATTCTTCAAAATCCATTAAGTGTAGGAGATATATTTATTATAAACAGAGCATTTACTTAAATATTTGTATCTATAAAAAGAATGTATAAACATAAAAATGTCTTAAAATAATTGTTGGACTTTGTCCATTTCATAATGTGTGACATCATTTGTTTACATTTGGATATGCCATGAGCAGATATGAATGTACGTGAGCAAATCATGGAA